CTAAGATTTTTTGAAATCACCAAGGCAGAGGTAGCTAAGTGGTTACTGCCGATTGAGTCATATGGTATTAAGTGAATAAGGGCCACGGTTCTATGAACGAAGAAGAGTGAAAAGGCTGGCTCTTCGACGACCCTACCTAAACTTTGAAACTCTCCCAATAGCCACCATTGGTGTCAAATATTTTTGGTTAAGATGGTAAGCTGACAGAATCTGCGAAGGCGACAACTGGGTTTTTCGCAGTTAGAAAACGTACTAAAAACAAATCGTGCGTTATAGGCTCCCCTACTATGCCATGAGCAACAGTAAAAGTAGAATACTCATAGCTGTCTATTAAAGCATACAAGCAAATTTAGTGAAGTTGACCGAAGTTATCGTCTTATGAGCATAAAAGCTGACAGTGGAAGATCATTCAAGTTGTCCCTGTTTATGCAGCAGCAAGCGCAAAGGAATTAAAGGGTGTGTACTGGCAGAAGCATGATGATCATATCTCATCTATACCAAAAGATGAGATACTCTTGCTTGAGGACGAACTCAGTGTCTACCGGGATAAAAACGAAAAGGGTTATGGGAACCACGGGTATGAGATATAAAACAGATGAGGTAAGCACGTTCCTGAGTTCTCAAGAGCTTAAGATCTAGATACAGCAAACGTATTGCATAAAGATACAAGAGCAAATTACGTACTTACGCACAATTCGACTACTAGGCAGTGCGATGCTCTTAAGAAAAGGAAGTGCAAAGTTAACCCAAGTTAAGATTGCCTATCCTGCGTGAATGGAGCCACATTTTTAAACCTTACGATTTTAGTAAAACGACAAAATAAGCCACTGACTGACAATAAAGTACAAGTGGGAACATTGAAAGGAAGCTTCTGTCTGAAGAAGACTTATACTCATCCTTAAGAAGAACAGAGTTCTCGGTCAAGCTTGAACCCTTCTACCATGTCAAAGAAAAAATAGAGAGACTATGTAAAAACGCAAAAGATAATTGAAAGTTGGCGAGCATTCTTTGAAGAAGTCTTGTCTAGCATCGTTCATAATCCATTCCATTAAGGAACAGTGCCACATAATACTACAGTGAAAGTATGATTCGTAGTGGCAGAGACAAAAAAAAAACGATGAGACTAAGGATCAAAGTGGTATTCTGAGTTCTGAAAAGAATGTGGACGGCTTGTTGCCTCTTCAATCAAAACATCAAAGCCAAAAAAAAAAACTTCAATGATTAATCAAACAATAGCGATTCCTATCAGAAGATAAAGGCAGCTTTGCTGACTGCACACCGTATCAGCCAATCTGACTGACAACCATGCTTTCAAAACTTTCAAGTGCTTAGACACGACATTCGGATCGAACATTGTCACCTCATCGGTAGGATTTATAAAGCTTGTTGGTGATAAGCATCCATACTTTGCGCACAGTGATAGAGAGTTTGAAGGCATACAAAAGAGTAAGAGTGGCTTCGGATCCAGAGATAGGTGGCAAGGTACCTCAAGATCATGATTTGAAGGGCACTGCAAAAACATTCGTATATACATCCAGCGGATAGGATGGGTTCTATGGGCGTAAAATGTAGCCGGTACATCAAAGAAATTATTCATGAATTAGTCTAGAATTGGTGCTCTCTTTCCTACCTTCACAGCCGCTACGCAGGGTGAAAGGCCTCAAACGACAGCCTATGTGGTCTCTCCTATGCGCAGATGTTTGATTCTGATAGCAGTAAGTAAAAGAAGACTTGAAAAGGATGAGTAAAAATGAAAAAAACCAAAATAGGGTGGTATGACTCAAAGCTCAACACCAAGAAGAGAAAATATATGGAAGTGAAGAGTCAAACTTTGCGAGCCATGTACACTGATGGTGAGAAAATAAGAAAGACGAGTTTCTCAAGCACTAGGAAGTGGCATATGTGGTGAAAGACGATTTCATATCGAGCTACGGCCTAGCAAATGCAATTTGGATGAACTGGGGGGTATTCACGGAGCTTTTAGGTAAGCATATGTCGATGCAGCTGAAATTACAATTTTACTGCACGTCCATCGTGCTGTACGACAGTGAAAGTACCATGTACGGTAAAGGAACACGGGCTTGTTGTCATGGACACAAAAGTCCTTTTGACCACTTATTCTGCTACCATTTTTTTTTGTTTGCGAGAAAGTGCTTGCTTCTGCATTAACTTCATCACATCTTCAATTATTTTTTCTAGAAGT